TTTTTTTTTTTTTCAATTTATGTTTTTTAATTATTATTTTATAATTAAAAAAAATTATAGTATATTGTAAATTTAATATCAATTATTATTTTTTTCATACATGAGTTTAGGATAGTGAATCATGAGTGAAATAAGCTTAAACAATAAAATAAATATTTAAATAAAAATCAATAGATATGTCAAAGAAAATTATTATTTATGGATTAGAAGAAGTAAAGCATAGACCATATTTAAAGCTTTAAAAAATAAAATAGTCAAATCAGGCTTATTCATTGCTGCATGACATCTCAAAAAATAATTTAAATTTATAGTGATGTAAATATTTACATCATTTTTATATGAATTATGCAAAAATATTTTATTATATTTTTTATTTAAACAATATGATATTTTATTAGCCCTTAATTTCATGATTGGATCAATTAAATTTTCTTGGCGAGTAAAATACAATCTCTTCATTATGACGAGAGGAACAAAACTTTTCCTCCCTTGTAGGCCTTCTTGGCGAGTAAAATATAAGTGTTAGGAAATTTAACAATAATCGTAGTATGTTACAACGGTTGCAAGCGGTGGTTGGTGGCGACTGGTACCGATAGGTGGGGACGGCGGACGGTGGTTGACGGTTGATGGCACATGCATAGCTAATGGTTGACGTTGTTGACAGCTACATAGGCAGGTGGTTACTTGTCAGATCTTCTATCCATAACAAGCTCTAGAATTTCATTTATCATTCTCTTCTCCCCATCCCCAAGTGAAGATGGAGAGACCTATTTATAGCTTTTTGAGTAGAGGCATTTTGTTCTATTGGTGCATAACTTCACTAATCGCTTGACCGGACTATCTGTGCTAATCCCCCTTGATAATCAGTGATATTTTAAGGATTTGAGTGTCTTAATGACAATAAAATTGAGTAATGTTAAGTTCGTTGGTTTCCTCTCATTGAGATGCTCCATTGACCATAAATATGTCATATTTGAAGTTTTTTATTATTATTCAATTGATGATCTAAAGCCCAGTGATTCAACAGCTTAATCTAGACTTGATTAGGCCTTGATTGAACCAATTTTAGATTAATTGAGTTCATCTTACAGAGACATTCAATTTAATTACAAATATGCTGAAATTGAAGCTTGAATGATCATAAATTTGTATTTAAAATATTTTTTTATTAAAATACTTCGAAATTTGTGCTTGATGATAAAAATTGTTGATGGCACATCATTAATTATTAACCTTTAAAATTGATGTGTCATAAATGTAAATATCATAATTTGTTTGTTAAATGTGCAAATAGATAGATATTATTGTATGCTTGTAATTATATCAAACTAAATTTAATTACTATTTAATTTGCTTAAAACAAATAAAAATATTATTTCATTAATAAATACTACGTAATTTTTATTTATTTACATATCTAGCATCTAAAATTTGGTATTTAAATTTATAACACCATGTATGTGAATGCCCCTACAAATAAATTATAATTTATGCAATTTACATATCTAACAGCTATATTTTGCTTTTTACATATATACAACCCTAATCTTTCATATCACATAAGAAAATACAATCACTTTAACTTATAAAATATGAAATATATTTTTTCTTGCATAGGGAAGGTGGTATGTATGTAAAAATTGAAGTTTAGGTGTTAGATATGTAAATAGTATGTCAATCTTCCATAAATAATAATTAAAAAAAGGACAAATGCAAAAAAAAGGCTCAAAGCATGAACCCTAAACATTAAACCATTAACATGATTGCTGGGTTATTGAAGTGCCTAGTATTCTCCTGTATTATTCAATGTGCTCCACTTTGCACATGAAAATGATGGGAGGACAAATTTGCAATGATAGAAGAAAGAATCTCAAACCACGATGCAAGAAATTAGGGTTTATTAATAGTCTTCTTCCCCATCCTTCCAGCTCCCCAACCACAGCTGCACTCCAGGTATTATTCTCTTGGATCAGAAGCATTCTCCCCTTACTATGTTGTATACATGCCACACAATTCATTATCTATTTGCATATCTAAACTTTCATATTTACTTAAATAACACTTACATCTTTCACATCATACAAAAATACCACAAATATTAATGCTTTTAAAGTGAAATTTCAATGCATATGTTTTGGTTTGTTTATGATGCTGAAGTGTTATGTGTAAAAATATCAACATTTTGGGGTTAGGTATGTAAATATATATGAATTATGTGATATGTGTGTAAATTTCCGAATTGTAGAAGTTATTTTATTCTTTTGATCAAACTTTAACTTCTTTCAGGTTAGGATGGAAGTCAAAATGGCATCATCTATTGTCATTCTTCTGGTTTCGCTTATGTTTGCTGATGCAAGGTATGGCAAAGAGCCAGAGCTAAATCAAGAAGGTAAGCATACTGTGAATCTTATTTTGAAGAATAGATGCCTGAAATTTACGTGGGCAGCACACAATTTTTATATATTTCCATATCTACCACTAATACATTGAAATTTACACGCGTGACATTCAGATCTTTAACATCACATAAAAAAGAACACTATTACTATTTTTCTTTTTAATAAAATAGATCATTTGATGTTGATAATGCTAAAGAATAATAAATGTAAATATCAAACCTTTCCTGAGGTCATGTGTGTAATTTACATTTTCTTTGAAAAAAAAAAGCATACAGGAAAGCATGCATGAGCTTGAAAATGAAAAATCCCTCGTAGATTTCAACAATGTCGTACCTTAAATTATACTATTTGCAGGAAACTCCATATGTAATTCATGTTTGGAAGCTTCAAGGATGGCAGAAAGAGCTCTGAAGGAATGGGAACCTTTCAAAGAACTTGATAAGCTTTCCGGCAACATATGCAGTGTCCTGCCAGTAAATTTCGAACTTCAGGTGAGAGTTTGAATTCGATGCGAACAGACACAACAAAATAATGGTGCAATTACATACATAGCGCTAGAAACATTGTTATTTACAAATCCCGCACCCTCTCATCCATTTTTTAAATTCTCACTCAAACGGTCGCACTGGTGCTAGTTTTGCAAATAACAATGTTCGAGTGCTATGTACGTAATTATATCTAAAAAAATATAAATACTGCCCTCCATCTTCTTCGCTCCTTTCTCATAAATGAAAAAACTTCTTTGCTTAGCAGTGCTTGGAGAAAACAAAGAAGCAAATTCATCATACCAAACTATCATTTCAAGAACTCTTTCATGAGAAAAGCCTTTGCAACAGCAGAGACCTATGTGCTGACCATCAAATTTTGCAAGAAATCAAAATTGCAGGGGAGAACAAAAGCCCTCCAGAGGTGAGAGAATGAGAGAAATCTACTTAATTGTGCAGATAACATCTCGTCGGACTTACCAATTTGTTGAAAATTTATCTGTAATATATTGAAAACAACTAATGATAAGTTTGGAATTACATTCCCGAATGGTGGTAGTAGCATTATGCAAATAAAATGTCACTCTTTTTAATAACATACGACTGAAGCACATTTGTTTATTCTATCTCCTGTCCCCATATAAAACTGAAATTATTACTCAATTGCATAATCTAAACTCAATACAAATAACAGAATTAAGAGATTAAAATCTATTAATTGCAAATCAATTATGATAATCCTAAGTCTTTCTTTGGCGTTGTAAAAGACTATTAACACTTAAAAACTGAACTAATACAGAATTTTTTATGAGAAAATTAAGACAGTGTAGCTTGTTTAAACTGGCATGCATGTCTGCCTTGACAAATTTAATTTTAAAATTAACATTTCTTCCAGTTAGAAGACGAAAGAGACTGCATAGCGTGCCGAAGGGCTGTCAGAGAACTAGTCATGAAGATGAATCAGCCTAAGATGAAGGTAAGTAATAATTTCATGATAGTTTTCTTGTTCTGTATGCATAAATTATCTTCCAAAGTAAACAGTAAGACATTTGTTTCGCTTCTTCAGACAAAAATAATTGAGGCACTTATAGATTACTGTGAAGAAACAGAAGATAATGAGGACCAAGTAAGTTCGCCGTCATCTTAAAACCAGATTCTGAAGCAGTAGAAAACGTTAAGAGTTTTTTAATTTTATTTCATTCTTCGGCAGTGCAAGCGAAGAGTAAAGAAGTATGTTCCTACAGTGTTAATTAAACTGGAGAAGTTGAAACCCACTGATATCTGCCTTATGATGGGAATGTGTGATGAAAGGTATGGCTCCCTCTAATATGTTGGATTAAAGAGTAAAGTTCCAAAATAGTCCCCTAAATCTTTTTAGCGCATCATTTTAGTCCCGAAATTTATAAAAATATCAAAATAGTCCTCCAAATCTTTTAATATAGGCTGAAATGATCCCGAGGGTGAACTATTTTTGCTCCCATTAAAAATGTTTGAAGACTAATTTGACACTTTTATAGACTTTGGGACTAAAATGAACCTCTAAACAGAGTATGGGGACCATTTTTGACACTTTTCTCTTGGATTAAGTAATGTCTTTTAGGTTCTCCTCCCAAAGTTCTTCAATAAACGGCAGAGGTAGATGAGTCGCAAAATCAGTGAAAAATCAAATTTTGTCAGCCATACAGTTTAATGAGACAATCTTCTATATTATAAGTGTCTTTCCTAGATCACATGATATAAATGTAAAGAGTCTTTGCTGATCTACCACTTGTGCCGTCAGAGCGCTGGAGGGAAACCAATGTATTATTTTGATGATATAAGTATTGACATGCATTCTAATCATCCTGATTCTAATTTCTGTAAATTAGCTCTCACAGTTTAAATCTTATAATCAATTTTCGGAAGATTTACCTACAACTGAATTCTTATGTTTTTATATATCTAACATCTATATTTCAATTTTCACATACATACCACTTTACCTATGCATAAAAAGGAGTATCTTGTGTTTTAAAAGCTAAACTAATGATATTTTTTATGTGATATGAAAATTTTGGGCGGTATAAATGTAAAAATCAAACTTTAGGTGCTAGATATGTAAATACATGAGAATTTGGTGTATGTATGAAAATGCCACTCAGCTTTTTAATGTAAATTTAAGCAATTTTTATCACACAATTCATAAAAAATTCCTATCAACAAGCAGTGCATTTGTGAGTACCTCAGTAGATCATCTGCAAGGTTCCCTAAAATGATTATGATGATCAAGAAGCAGCATAAAATTATCTAACATTATTTGCTTAAAATAAAAGCTATATTAATACCTGAAAGCAGTACTATGACAATAACAAAATAAAAAAAAATAATAAAAATAAAAATTAGTTCTCAACCATAATTAAAAAATTCGACTATAATTTAATTTTGTTAGAGATTTGGTCGTCTACAGATCACCATAATTAACAAACACATCCAAAAATATCAGGTCACCAGCAACAACAGTTGAGAGAAGTATTATATATGAGGTGTTTGCTCTATAATAAAAGCATATTTCTCCTATGATGAACTATCATCTCCTTCTGTAAAAAAGAAAAAAAGGGCAATTCGATATATACCACCGTATTTCTATATATCTACATATCTAACAAGTAAACTTTTATTTTTCCGCACATGCCACCTTACCCATGCATGAAAAGCTACATTTCACTTTTTAAAAGTTAAAATGGTGATATTTTTTATGTGTTATGAAAAATTTAGGTGGTCTAAATGTAAGAAGTCTAGATGTTAGATAAGTAAATACGTAGGAATTGGATGGTACGTATGTAAATACCCAAAACAAACAATGGCCATCCCAAGTGTGAAGGCCTTGCCAACTCACTTAAGTTAATATAACTTAACTCCAAAAGTGCTTTACTTTATCATTTATGGAGACTTAAAGCTAGAACTTCGAATGATGCTTTTTTTGTTCTGCACTATAGAGCAATTTAGCAAACAATAGCAGTTATGAATATTTAGGAATGCTTGTATTCTGGCCACACAACAAACCAAATTTTATAAGAACAGAGAAAAATTGGATGATAACTGAAGAACTGCCATTGTCCAATATATGTTATCAAAAAGTCAAGTGCATGTCATAAAATATTCAAACTTTAGCTCAGATGTTATCCATCACACCCCAATCAATCCTTTCAAGTCAACTAGAAGTGCAAGGACAATCAGATATAATTTCCACCGATGTCCATCCTAAAGTGTACTCATCAGATCATGTGAGTAAGGAATTGGCCGTATGAAATTGTCATAAGCAAACTCATATGTTTTAATTCATCAGACACTTATTGGTACTAAATATAATATAAAAAACGTGCATAAATAATAATTCATCGAATACAATACAGAGCTTTTAAAATATTTAAATATGAAATCATACATACTCTTAAAGTCTTATATAATCGCCCAAAATCTTTATATTCAAAAACTATACAAAACAAAGATCACCTGGCTAATGTCATCTTGCTCCTTACCCCCTCCATGAAAGCAAAATAGTTGCCTCGTGTAAAAGGTATAGGCTCAATAAGATAATTAATACTAAAATAAAACTCAATCTACAAGAAAGAAATAATGTACATGTTTGTCGGTGACTAACATGAATAATAACAGTAATAGTAGCAAACATGCTTAAATATTTGAAGGTACAAAGAACATGATTTAGATGCAAGCAGTGGTCAATAATAATAATATTGTTATGAGAAATTCTTTCAATTACTAAACTATGCAATTTCTATTATGTTTTAAATTTATGTTTATTTTCATTCTTATTCTGAATTTTCTATCATAAGAATTTCACATTATATCTGCATCGACTTTTACATTTTTCATTTCATGTGGTCGCCACCCAACCATTTGATCATAATCATTGTTGATAAAAGTTAGCCATCCCAACATCTTGCTTTATCAACGACTCTCCAATGCCAAATGGTTTGCTCTAATCTTAATATCAAAAGTCGGGAATTCAATTATTTCTCTATCAAAACTCATCTCGCCAAAACTCATGCCTTCCCTGCGCAAATCATCACTACATCAATCTATACATCACAATATACATGACATTCCCTCAATCAATTTTATTTGCTATAAGCATTTTCATATGCATTTATTTTTTTTAATTTGAATGTATCTGCAACAATCACATTATTAATATGCACACAAAATACAATATGACAGATAATAATAAAAAACTTATACTTAAATATTGTATTAGTATGAAATACTACGAATTAAAAGTATATAAGATCCACCTATATTATTGAAGAGACTGACAATAATAATTATGTTCAATATAAAAGAATTTCTAAATTTGAATTGCACAATAAATAAATTTACTGATAGATAGTAGCAAGTAATAGCCACATAGAATATTTTACTTCTTTATTTAACAAATGAGTATCTCGTCTAATTTAACGATTCATCTCTCCACAAATGTCTTTCCTAAGCTCATTTAGAGCTAGCAACTTTATATAAACAGCCAAGAAATAACTTTGTCAAATAACGCTTCATATAAAGTCATTTTAATACTAGATTGATAAATGTTATTGTTTGTGAACTTAATCATCGGGATGTGGTCCTCCCAGTTGCCTCCAAAATCAAGAGCATATAGTATCAATAAATCTTCTAACACTGGAATTGTTCTTTTTTATTGTCCATCGGCTTGTGGATTAAATGTTGTATTAAGATGTAACTATGTACCTAAACTTTTATAAGCATATTCCACAATCTAGAAGCAAACATTCCGCCTCTTTCAAAAACAATCACCTTTAGAACTTCATGCAGTCCAATAATTTCTTTGATATACAATATGATCAACTTATCAACAGAATCTACCTACTTAATTGATAATAAGTGAATTAATTTGGTCAATCTATCAATGATCATCCAAATAACATCATGACCCCTTCATGAATTGAGAAAATCCAATAATGCAATTTATGGTAATTTTCACTCAAGTATAGACAATAATTGCAGCAATCTACTAAGTCTCTAATACTCGGCCTTTATAATCTAACAATCTCGATATTTGGACAGTTTGTAACATCATTCTTAATATATAGCTATCAGAACATCAATTTAAAATCTCTATACATTTTGGTGCTACTTGGGTGAATAGCATAGCAGAATAATGACCTTTATATAAGATCTCAAATCCTTCCTTAAGAATACAATAGCTACCTTGAGCTGAATAAACAAATCACCAATTATCGATAGTGAATATTTATTTTTAATTGTTACTTTGTTCAACTTTTTGTGATCAATATATAATCACATAAATTCATCCTTCTAGACAGAGTATCGGTGCTCTCCACAATGAGTTACATGGCCTAATAAACCCCTTATCCATCAATTACTTCAATTAGCATTTTAATTCCTGTGATTCTTTATAAGACATTCTATCAGGTTATCTATATATTCTGAATAAACTTGACTACACATCAATCCCAAATCAAACTCTCTGGCGACAGGCCTAACAAGTCCTCAGGAAATGCATCAGAAAAAATCAGTAACGAAGCTCATCGAATAGGCTATACTATTCACCCAAGCAACACTAAAATGTATAAAGATTTGAATTAATGTTATGGTGGCTATGTATGAAGAAAAAAGTTGAATATATTTCCAAGTGTCAAACTTAGTAGTTCATAAAGGTTGAGTATCAAAGCCCTAGTATATTATTACAAATACTATCTATACTTGAGCACAAATGGGAGAAAATTATTAAGAATTATCATGATAATATTTGAGTGCTTACAATAGATTAATAAATCAACTCACTTCTTACCAATCAAATAGACATACTCAATTAATAATTTGGCTAGATTGTATATTAATGAAATTGTCTGACTGCATAGTGTTTCTTAGGTAATCATTTTTTAAAGAGACGGAAGATTTACATCCGAATTATGAAAATGCATTCATAAAAGCTTGCGCAAGCAGTTACATCTCAGTACAATAGTTCATACATAAACCAACGTACAATCAAAAAGAATAATACAAGTATTAGAAAATTTGTTCAGTTGTGATTTGAATCTTGAAGGAGGTTGAGAACAGCACATTCTGATGACTAAACTTACATAAAATTACATCGATCGATTCAATATATAAATGACACCATATGAAACACGTGTATGACAGAAAATACATAACTCTACTAAGCTAGGTCAAAGTAGTAGTGCATCAACTATTGGGTCCAAAATTAATTGATGAAGCTGCATAAAAAATCAGATTAATCAGAGATAGATTAAAGGTTACTAGAAATCATCAGCAAAAATATTATGACCCAAAGCATAGAATTGTGGGGTTCAATGTTGGTGATTTTGTTTCTTTGAAAGTCAGGTTCAAGAAAGGTCCAGTCAGATTTAACCGGGAAAGCAAATCAAGTCCCAAATATATAGGATTTTTTGAAATCATTAAGAAAAATGACAAAGTTGTATACAGGCTAGTGCTGCCAACTGATATGTCAAACATACAAGATATTTTTTCATATATCTCTGCTAAGGAAATGAGTTTCAAACTCAAATTAGAGGATCCTATCGAAGAATATTTAGATGCAAAAAGATTTGACATGGAGTAAGGAACCTGAGAGAATTTTAGAATTTGATTTCAGGAAAGTATAAGTAGACAAATTTCATATGTAAAGGCAAAATTGAAACACGGAACAAAAAAAAATCAACATGGAAAAATAAAAAAAAAAATCAGACGGAAATTTTATCAATTGTTTGATAATTATTAAGGAATTTCAAGAATGAAATTTAATAAAAATAGGAGAGTTGTAGTGCCCAAAAAGAACTAGAAAGTAT